GTAATTTATGAAATAAAGAACAATTATGATCTAAAGGGTATCAAAATTTACAAAAAAAAAAAAAAAAAGAGCTTAATATTTATTTGTTTACTTTATTAAACATTTCTATCAAGTAAGTTGTTTTTCGTTTTATGTGATATACTTTCTCTTTAATTCTATAAACAGACATAATTTCTTGTTCAGTTACAAAGTTCCGCTGTTCAAGTCCTATAATTGCGGTGTCGAGAATATCGACTAACTTGTCAATCGAAGTTTTTTCGTTTTCAGTAACCTCTCGGTCACTTTCTTCACTATCGGAAGCGGTATTTTCTGGATTTAGAACCATACTACAGATTTCGGAACCTTTTAATTGATTGATGATTGGGGCATTGTCATTGCAATGAAAACTTCTGTTATGTCATCTTCATTTATTACTGCTTCTCCATATTTCTTTACAAAATCCAATAACTTAAAAATTTCATCTTTAGTTTGCAATGTCCAAAAACCTTAAAATTCACGGCTATCTTCTTCATGATCTTCAACATGAAATATGGTAGATGGCTATAAATTATGCCAAGCATTTTTTAACGTATCTGGAGACACATCCTCCCACAATCTTGCGATGCTCCACACAGCAGATTTTATGCTAAAAATTTCAAAAATTCTGAATAGTCTTGCCACTGTTCAAGAAATTTAACATAGATTTTAAAAAATGCTTTTTTATATTTGCATTTCAGCGCGTGCACTATTCCCATATCCATAGGCTGAATGATAGACGTACAATTTGGAGGGAAGAATAACACGGATACATTATCTTTCACTAAAACTTTATGTGAAGTATGCGCCGAACAGTTATCAACAATCAGAACTATTTTTGAGTCATCAGGTAAACCAATTGAATTCAAATGTCGTTGAGCCTCGGGCATAAAATGATTTTCAAACCAATCATTCATCAACACTTGTGTCATCCATGCTCTTTTATTTGCGCGATATATAACAGGGAAAATCGTTACTCCTTTAAACAGTCGAGGTCGTGCATGCTTTCCGATTACAAAAAGTTTGCACTTGTGCGTTCCTGCAGCATTTGCACACGCTAAAATTGTTAGTCTCGCTTTGGAATCTTTGACACCCGTTGGAGCCTTTTCTGTAGAGGTTGCCAAGGTATTTCGCGGTACATATTGCCAGAAAAGACCAGTTTCATCAGCATTGTAAATTTGTTCTGCACATAATTGTTCACTAGTAATGAATTCGATGAATTCATCTGCAAATTGTTCAGCAGCTTCAGTATCAGCTGAAGATTTTTCACCAGAAATTTTTAATTATCTTATACCATGGCGATTTTTAAATTTTGTTAACCAACCTGTCGAATATGTGCACTCTTCATTTAAGTTCATTTCTTCATGAAATATTTTGGCTTGAGCCATCATTGGACCCATCAATGGCATGCCCTCGCTGCGACGCTGTGTGACCCATTCAATCATCACTCTGTCATGATTGTCACTTTTAGCATAACGAACCCTTTTTCTGTTACTCATTGCAAGTGGAGTGTCGGAATCCACAAAAAAATCAAAAAGTTCCTTTTTCTTTTGGCTTATGTCATTGCAGCAATTCCACTATTTGTTTGATGGACATGGAAACATACTTTCGTTTTGTAGATCCTTTGGAAATTCCAGCATCGGAAATTCTATTTGACATAATCGAAAGTTCAAGTTTACTTTTATAAAATTGCTCTAACAGTCTGCAAAAAATAATAAGCGGGATCTAATTCAAAAATTAAGAAACGACGCAATCATTAACTGAAATAGATAATGAGATCATTTTAGCTTATACCGTCCGTTATGCATAAAACGTGAAGGCGAAAACGTATTCTGCACCTGCGCGCACACATATGCACGGTCGTCCAGGTCTTACGCGTACGCGTAAAACGCCTGTGCCAACGCGCCGCATGCGCAGAAAATTTTTAGCTTTGAGGTCCGGATTATAGATCATTCCGGATTATGGGTGTCCGAATTAACGACACTTGACTGTATTCCATTAGATGGTCTAAAATTTAGAGCAAAGAGAGAGTTAGAATTCCTTTTAGCCATGCTTTGGTTGAATACAGAACAGGGCACTCTGTGGCAATCAGAGAATTGAAGAACAGTCTTCTGAATGATTACGTACAACCATTCAAATCTGCAGTCACTCATATTTAACTATGGACACCAATATACTTGTATATGAAAATATGGTAGCGTTATTTATGCACTCAAGCAAAAGTGGCCTTGCTTAAAACTAACAAAGTAATTACTAACTACAGAAAGGCTCTGAAAGTTCAAACTTCCACTCCACTTAGTCTTAATTCTTTCGAGATGGCACGCCCTTGTTTAAGATGTTCCATCAGGATGGATGGGAGTCGAAAGTAATCGTCCAACAGGTAGTTTTAAGTTTTAACATCATAATTTTTTGTACTAATTTAGATTATTATGTAAGCTATCTATCATAAATGTTAAAATTAGTATTTAATAAACTGTTTTCTTTACTTTATATGATAACATACGAGAAACAATTTTTGGAAGCGCTATTCAAATTATTCTGAAGTTTTCATTGAGAAAATACAAGAAGTAACAAAATCGTCCATGGGAAGTAGTAGGCAAGAATTCAGTTTTTTGATAAAATGTCCATATCACAATCACAAAAAATATAGTTCTCAAACTCTACAGAAAATGAATCACTACTCTCATCCACGTCACTAACTGGCTCATTTACCATGTGAGTTAACTAACTGGCTCATTTACCATGGTTCATTACCATATCTTCTTCTGATAAATAACGCTTGCCTGCCATAAAAAACTGTATTCAAGGCTTTCCAAAATCAGAAGTAAAATATAAGAAGTAAAAAGCAACACAAAGTAACAAAAGAGAACTCCACATAGTAAGGGATATCAGAAGTACAAATGTTTATATCACGTGCAAGTTAAAGAGACAAGCTCTGTTTACATTACGCTTTCCCTCCTCGCTCACAACAGCTGATATCAATGTTATGCAGAATGTGATCAAACTGAAGGTCAAGATCCTAAAGCTTATACTGAGTTCAAAAGTATTGGACAAAGGATGTCATCTAGTGGTCTTTAAAAAATGTTTCAGCTTAAAATGCATGCACACATCACCTGTACTTTATGTTCATTCTCCAGTAATTCATGGTTGGGACGTCCAGCTGTGAGAGACCTTCATATGTAATGCGTGTATAGATGCCTGTTCATTCTCCAGTAATTCATGGTTGGGATGTCCAGCTGTGAGAGACCTTCATATGTAATGCGTGTATAGACGCCTGTCCGGAAAGGTTTAAGGAAATTATAAGCAAAAAAGTGAGTGAGAGGGAGCCTTACTGACTCAGCAGAGGACAAATCAAGCAGATGAGTAAAACTTTCCAAAATGCAGTCTTAAGCCCAGCACTGAACTTAAGATTGCAATGTTTATAAACCAATCAGAATGAAAGTCTCTCTGAAATCTACTAATACTGCAATCCCAGAGATTCAGTAGGTAACTGGCATATGGGAAGAATTCAGGAAACAGGAGTCTTGGAGAAAGGAGAAATTCCATCTGACTACAGCGAAAGAAAAAATGATATAATTCCATTCCTAAAATGAAAATTATTCAGGATTTACATAGCTTTAAGCCATAATTTAAGTTTTTGGTATAGAGATCTCGACTTCTTGTATCCCTCAAGAGTTCACTGATATTAGGAAGAAAATTTTAAAGATTGGAGACTTCAAAAATATTAAATAGGCTCTACTAATTTCAGATCAGACTTGAAGCTGTCTTTTGCTGAGCAGTTATTTTCCATTCTTGCTGACTTCATCAGCAATTCTCGATTTTCTATTAAACTGCCAATATCCATGTAGGATGTATTTATACAAGGTCATTAGCCTGATAGATGGATGAAGCAATGCCTTTATTTGCATGTTACATGAACATACAGAACAATTTTGATTCAGCATTTAAAATTACAGTGATATCTTCTTTTTCCTTAAAAACTCCCAAGATTCAGTTTTATGTTTCTGAGAAAGCGTTTCTAGTTGAATTTTGTAATTTAATCTTAGTTTAATTCTATTATATGTGAAACTAATTCAGAAAATCAAAAATTTCTATTTATTGCCAAATATATTAAATTTAATGAACTATCACTCAAATTTCAACACAGAAAAAGAAATGGGAATAAAACTAGAAAGTCTGTCTCCTCTTGGTTAATCTTTTGTTTAAAGATTATTAAATATTATCTGATGTTTGAAGCGGATCATGAATTGCCCATATTTTATGAAATTATTTTCAACAAAACCTCGTAGGATTGAAAAGGAAATCTTTATTTAATTTTATATCTCAGCATGAGATCCATTACTAGGAGACAATAATGCTTAAGGTGTTCATGACAGGTTTGCTGAAGTTGAATGCCTTTATAAAGCCCTTTTTTAGTACTGATTTAAACAAACATTGGCAGATGATTATGATGCAATCAAAAGTAACTTCTGCAGTTCCAACAATTCTTTTTGTTTCATTTCATGCAAAGTTGAAGTGTGTGTTCAATATTTTAAGTATGAAATATTGTTATTGTGGTATAATACTATAGAAAAAGATTTCTGCGATGATCAGAATCACTACGCCTGAAATTTGCAAGATAAATGTTAATTTTTACATAAAACGCCAAAAACTTTCTTAAAATTTCATAGTTAGCTATTTAATGTTTTTAAAGGGATTACAGGGTAAAAGGGATTAATCTTTGCCACATTTCGCCGAACCTCCTAATGAGGTTGGGGACAGTAATGTCCAACAGCATAATTATGCTGTGAAATGTTGGACAACAGAGGCACTAAAATGCAAACAGCCTACTCACTGGTTAATTTGAATGCACCTCCATATCCAATGGTTCAATTAATCCTTGTACAGCCAAGCAGAGAACAACAACTGTGCAAATTTTCAAAATAATCAGTTAGTATGTTTTATTCTTAAATATTTTTTGTTCAAAGACATAAAATTAAAAAAAAAAAAAAAAAAAAAAAAAAAAAAAAAAAAAACGATATAAAAGATAAATTGTAAATAAATTTCTGAAGTCACCATGAACTAAATATGCAGCTGCTGAATATTTTTCAAAGTACGAAAATAGCAGTTTTCGTTAGTCCAGAGTGGAAAAAAACACTAATATCAAGTTATCTGAGACGGCATATTTCTTTGATTTAATGATAAATGTTTTGTGATATTTTTGCATTCCACTCAATATACAATTTAATACTTGTAATTTTCAAAGTATTGAAGGAATCTTTGATGAACAGAAAGCATATGTAGAATTACTTAGTTTGAAAAATGATGACAAAAAATTAATTTAAAAATAATATTGTTGTTATAATTTAAAAAAAAAATATTATTGTTATGCATTTAAAATCTAAAAAAGCTAGACTTTATAGTGTTTTAATTATTTTCATAACTGCAGTTAAATTGGGACTTGCCGACGTAACAGGATAAAAATAAATCATGGCCTAAATATGAAGCAACACATTTATATAGCATATTATTCATGGTGACTTTCATCACAAAATATTAAATAGCATACAGGGCTAGCTTTCAGTGCAGTCATATCCCAAATCCGTTGTTAAGATTAAATATCCTTATTTCATATATGTTTTTTTTAAATCATAATTTATTTAAAGCCAACCCCGAATACTATACACAATTTTTTTTTAACATTTACTGAAAAATGAAAATTATAATACGAAAGAATAAAATCCTTTATAATTATCTTTATATATGAGGGGAAATACTATGAAAAGAAAACATATACACACAATATAAGTCTTTAAGAAATAAACAAATAAAAATAATTTATTATTACCAAATGCTAAAAAAGAACAGTTTTATTCCTATGTTACACAATATCAAACAGCTATTTTAAGGAAATATTTGGGCTGTTAAAAAAAGGGGATGAGGCAGTTACATATTGGGAGATTTAAAAAAAAAAAGGTTTCTAAAAAATAAGATAACTGAAAAGTTTAAGAGTGTCATTCCATAATACACATACATACAAGAATAAATTTGATACTTCAGTTTGCTAACTCCACAGGTTAGCTATCAATGACCTGTGACTTGATTCATGTCAAAGCACACCAAAATGTTCAAAATTATTCTTTATGACCGATGTTTAAAACAATGCACCTGACAACAGTTCAGATAAGAAAATCATTATGTAAAAAAAGTACATCTTTCTTCTGCACAAGAGGTGTGTGATTTCTTCTTTTAATGAAACATACTAGAAACTTATCTTTGTGCATTGCGATGAAGACTAAAAAGGGCGTGGTCCTCTTTGGCCCATCATATGAGGAAGTAGGGACGGTCCTTGAGAATAAACAGTCTGTCCAGTAAAAGGGGCATTCATCCTTTGCATTGAAGCTCCTGCCATGCCTAAAATGAGATTTTAAATCAAAACTTTTATTGTTTCACATATGGAATGAACATAATCAATTTATAAAAGATAAATTACAAAATGGCATGCGAGCATCCACAATAATCATTGATTTGATTTAAACAAAGAAAAGCAAACAATGATGATACAGCAAAAATATACTTCTATTTTACGCTATGGAGATGCAATAAATATTATGAAATAGAGCATGTTCTCGCAACAAGTTTTATAAAATTTGTGAAATATAGAGCAAATTATTTTTAAAATTGTAATTCTTAGCAGCACATAATTCAAGTATGACAATTAAAATATACATACCTGAAAAGTGCATCTGAAAAAGCTAAAATTTTGTATAATTGGATTCATAATTTTGGACACAGATTAAATTTAAAATTGAAATCAAAAGAAATAAATTTTATTGGAACAAAAAACAATCACTTACAGCCAATGCACTGGCTGCTGTATTCTAACTGACCTGCAAATCTTCTCTTCTTTTTGCTATTCTCGTTAACTTCTGCAAATACTTTATCACTAGAGTTAAGTGACATATGTTTAAAAAACCTATCAACTTGTTAAATGGGAGTTTTTGAGATGATGCAATGAAAGAAGACTTCAGTTATTTTAGAACAATGGATGAAAAACTGCAGAAGGGCAAATAGAATGCTAGTTAGGCAACAAAGTTACACAAAATGAAGTATTAGAGCTCGGGAATTCTTTGTTTTAATCCTGCACGGCAACTGGGCTGCAGTTTTCACACTGTGGTTACTGCATGTATTTTGAACCAACACTTGCAAATGCATAAAAGGAGATGGGTAGTACTTTTAATTAATGCATTATCATGCAATGTCTTCAGAGATACATATCCCTACAGTTTGAAAAATTTTAAGAAATATTAAACTTTGCCATTGAAAAATTTGATGACATGAAAATAGGCTCAATAGGTATTTAAAAACTTCTAAAATCACTTCACACTTGATATATACAGTGCTACAAATATATACAAATACTCTGGAAAGAGGAAATTGTATTTCATGCTTCATTATAAATAAACCATTTTTAACAAGCATCAATGTGTTGCGATACTTATGAACAGAATCTATTTACGCAATGACTGGTATGTAATTATGATATAGAGTTCACTTGCTTGTGATCTATTGGAAAATTTTTTAGCAATTTAAATATAATATTAGATCAAAATTTCACTCAGCATTGCTTTAAGAATAATAAGAAAATAATAATATACTTTTAAATATATTTTATCAAGTTACACAAAACAGATATAATACAGATTAAATACATGTAGGTTAATAATAGGTTAGTTGATGACAAAATTACAATATTTGAGGATACTTTTTAAATATAAGCATAACTGCATATTTAATAATAGGAATTTAAAGATCGGTATTTACATATTAGAGCAGCTTTTTACTAATAATAGTATTAATTCTTTTTATTATTTTGACATTTTAAAGCGCCTAAGAATTTCAGTTTGAGACTTCTGTGTGCAAAATTGTGACAAGTATCTGAATAATAAGAAACAGTTGAAGAATTTCTCTGTTGAAAAACCTTAAGCTTGAATATCTCAGACTGAACAATATTTTCAATTCTCTCCCCCTTAAAACACACAACTGTTTCTGTTTCAGTTATTACTATGTCTGAATCTAAGAGAAAAATGCATTTAGTACAGTGCTGATTATTTGAAATATACTTTCATTAGGTCTGCTTTAAATAATATGCTACTAATGTGTCTGACACACTAATGTTTTTCCAAATGAAGCTATAAAACCCTTTCAAGAAAAACTGTCACAGATTCACTTCAATAAATCAATAAATACATATTTGCATTATTTTTACAAAACTCAAAGAAGTCCATAAAACAGCCTGCATTGGCAAATTCTTTTTCAATAGCATTAAAGAAAGATAAAAATAGGCTGTGTGTCTCATATAACATTGTTTTACTTATTGCATGAGAATTGAAACTGCATACTACTGGGAAAGAACTGATTTTACCAGTCATTAAGGAACTATTTACAGACTGTACTATTTGACCAGCTAATCTAGAATAAAAAAAAAAAAAAAAAAAAAAAAAAAAAAATTGAAAAAGGTTTTTACACAATTATTTTTTATTTACAATGAATATCATAATTAATAAACTAAAAGTATAAAAATAATTTACCATATAGTTTAATAGGAATAATAAATTAAATAAAATATATTTTGGCATATAACATGCACCTATAACTACAAGCTACATTTTCTAATTTTTAGGTATATTCACCATGTAATGCTCACTCTTTTTTACAAAGAAACCCAAAAGATATGAGAGATGATCTTATCTTTAAGTTATTCATTTGAAGAATTTTCCTATTCTTTCGAACAATTGTATACAGAATTGGCAAGCGATAAGGGGAACAATATGTAAGTACAGGAAGTAAATAATTCTAAAAAGAAGGTGGATTATATTCAATGCAAGTGTACAACAGAATGTTATTCTGGAGTTTCGAGAAAAGATGGATATAATTTGGGATAAGAATGCACTTCCGACCCGAATTAAAATGCAAAATTATGATTCAGATGTTTTCTTTTTTTGCAGTCATCTGAAGCCACGATCTTGAAGTGAATATTGAAGATTTCAGCAAAGCACTATAAAGTCATTCAATTTGTAAGAGAAAATGAAATGCATACAGCAGCAATGATGTTTGATGTTGGTGAAAGCTCCATACGTGATTTGGGGGAGAAAAATGAAATTACAGTAGGTAATATGCCAAAGCATAAATGTGCTTTCTGTAAAGAAGTAATAAAGTGACCTATCCTAGAAGAAAGTGTTCCAAACTGGGTTCTAGAAAATCACCAGAATGGATTAATTGTTACATGAAACATTTATTTTTGACTTAATCTTCCAGCACGCGAGCTTGACAATTTTACATGAGCATGCATGCGTCGTATAATTTACTACATCTATTTTTTTTACCATTTTTAGCACACAAAATGACAGAACTGAGAGAATATTGATAATAAATTTGTTAAAACATAAAATATTAACATTATTATTGCAAAATACAACTGATGTCACATTCAAATGATAGAAAAATTACTTTTAAACTCTTACATTAGTCACACGGAAAAGCAATGATGTATTTTATTATAGAAATTTTAAAATTTATTATTTAATAACTATATTTTAAAATCAAAGCTATTTTTAATATTCATCTGTCCTGTCCTGTTGATTTATCATCGAATCGGAGACAACTTGTCAGAAATAAAAATCTCTTGTACTTCATCACAGCTCTTGTTATTTCAATACCAGTGCCATCATTTGAGAACAATTCTTTTGCATTTACATGGTGTTCTTTTTTTATTCCTATGATATATAACAATCCAAAGTAGGCCATCATTTCCATTTAGGTAATAGTGCAGTCTCTATCTCTTGAGTATTTTGCCTTTTAGTAAACTTATATATTTATTTGTACATTCTAAACTTTCATCAAGCATATTTATATCAACTATTTTTAAAAATGTTCCTGTTTCATCGTTTATATCCTTAGCATGGTGTTTCAGGCCAGGTAATGCTCACAATATTTATCTTATTTGTCCTTGAGCAGTTTGCATACTTCTGATTTTGCCACTTAAAAAGATTTATCCTTACTAACATAGAATATATCATCATCCTTGCATTTTTCTATATTATTATTACTATCATCATTTGAAATATATTGTTCAGATTTACAGTTGATATGATTTATCTCCATAATTTCCTCACTCAGATCACTATTATTCTCGTATCCAAAGGTTTCCTTGTCTTCTTTTTGATTCTTAAAGAATGCGAGCGAAATCAGCTGGTTGCACACATTTTTCTACCATGAAACCGATATAAAAATTATAGAGTGAAATTTATATACAAATTAAAATAATACACTTCAATTAATAACACAAAATTACAAAATATTTGAGAAAAAAATACTTTCCGAATTTTCACACCACACGCATGTCGTAACTTTTACGAAGAAGCTGCCATGTAGCGCAAAAGCTCAGCAGAAAAACTAAAAAAGTCACGACTTTCTATTGGCACATTCCATGATATGGGGAAGGGTTGAAAGGAGGAATAGGAATGACAATCAGACGTCTCAGCTGCGATATGCTAGGAGTGTGCACTAAAAACCAAATTTATCGTAAACTTTATGCACAGTGCGCATGCTGTAAGATTAAAGTGGGTGAAAAGAAATGCAAATAGAAGTGAAAACTTAAAAGCAATAGTATAGCACAGGGTTTCTTAAACTTTTTTCAGTTGTTACTCCTTTTTATCCTGAGATTTTTTTCACAACCCCCAGGACCCCATAATATTTACAAAAATGTTGTGGTACCCCATAAATATTGCGCAAATCCGACACATGCATGAGTGAAACTGTGAATTTTTTCACTTGCACTGTAATATACTATTTAGGTCATTAACTTTAATTTCTAATTTTGAGACATAGAACAATGTGAAAATTTTAAATAAGTAATAGATGAAATGACAGCATCACGTGCGAAGCAAGGAAAATGAACGTTTATATTATGAAAATAATGTGTTGAATGTGTGTGAATTGTGTCTTTTTGTTTTTTTCTTTGTCTGTATTGTCTTACCTTTATTTATTTTCTGATATATTGTGTAAAAATATTTGGTAGTTTAAAATTATTATAAGTTAAAGAAATATCAAATCTGCTATAATTTTTGGCAACCCTCTGCTGCAGGCCCCGCAGTTTAAGAAACACTGGTATACAGTCGATTTCTTTCATGGAATAATTTATTTCTACTAGGAAAAAAAAAATTTTGCATATCTTCCAAAAGACAGGGACAACAAATTGATAAGTTTCTAGATGTACGTTATTGACCTACAAAAGCAATAAAAATATTTACTGTCACATACTGCAAATACGGATGAAATTCCAGAAGTATTTGATATGATACAAATAAAGAATTCATGCAAAAGAAATACGGTTCTTATGAAAAGAACAGATCACGAAAAGTCCCACCTGACCGTAGTGATTTCCTGCTTAGTGGATGATACAAAATTAAAACCTATGATTATTGTTAAAGAAAGATATCGCCAATATGTAATTTCTCAAACAATGTTTTCATTTATGTTCACAATAAAGGAAGGACAGACAAAAATGGGGTGAAATTATAGAAAAGAAATGTTTTAAAGTATCCAGAAAGTCTTCAGATATCACCCAACAGAAAATATGAAGAGATGAAATAGTGACAGGTTTATGTAAGAGCATAATACAGGCATGGCAGTTATTTCAAGTGGATTAATGCCATTAGTTCAGCCTTTAGATGTGTCAATAAAAAAATACTAAGCCAATAAAAAGAATTAAAATGACAGTGGAATATGTGGATGTTAGCAGGTGAAAAAAACTTTCATAAAAGGACAAATACGTCACGCTGGTCTAGAAATATTGTGTGAGTATATAATAAAAGCACGGAATGAAATTAAAACCGTCACAATTCAAGAATCATTAAAAAAAGTGTGGTATATCTGACAGTCTTTATAGAACCAAAGATGACTGTTTGTTTATGGATTCGAATTACAGTGATGGTGAAAATGAAACCAAATTCGATGATGTGCCTGAAGATTTAACAGAAGACAAACATGAGGAACTTTTCATGTTACCCAATAATGAAAATTTTTTAGTTCATAAAGTATGTCATTTCTTTTAAATAAAGAGTGTTTAGGTACATATAGAAATCTAATTTTTGTTTGCTTATCTTTTCCTTATTTTTAAATCCAACATTTTTATATCTGGCACCCTACGCAAACCAGTAAATTTCAATCTCATTTTTTGATTAAAAGTGCCTGCTATATGATGGAATATTAGATAACAGCATTTATAGAAGCTATCTAAAATTTTACACCGTAAATAATAAAAGCACCCATGATAAATTAAAAAATGATAATCATTTTAATATTAAATATATACATATATGTAACTACATAGAGAAACAAACTAAATTATATGAGGTTAAATCAAATTCTATTAAACAAAGTAATACACATACCAGGAGGCATTCCCATACCAGGCCTCATCATATTCATACCATTCATTAACATAGGATTTCCTGCTTGCGGCATAGACATTGGCTTTCCACCTAACATTGGTACAGCACCTACACCCATATGCATTTGATACCTAGGTAACTGAGCCCTTTTTTCTTCCTATAAAAATGATTAAAGAAAAAAAAAAATAATAATGCATATGCAGTAATATCCTACTTAAACAAACTTCATTTGCCGAAAGGCTGGAGGGGAAAAAAAAAGAATCAAAACAAAGAAGTGAATTAAAAAAATATTTTTTTAATATCTGAATATCTGCAGGCAAATACAATACATTTATAATGCAAATAAGTAATATCTATAGTTATTATAATTATAGCAAAAAGTGTGATGTGAAAGCTCTGACCAACAGGTGATTTTTCAAGTATTTCCATTCAATGAAATGTTTAATTGATTTCATTGAATCAATTAAAATTTGCTTTATATTTCTGAGAAAAGAGAACTACCAAAATCAGAATCATTAAAAATTTCAATGCATCCCATGAGGTTTTATGATTCCATTATGATATTTTTCAGAACTTTCAGAATTTGAAATTGAGAGCTTGCTATTTATAGCATAACTTTCTATCTTTTTATAATTTTTTTTTTTTTAAAATTACAAATGCATATTATTTTCTTCAAGTGATATAAATGAGCCAAAAAGTTAAAAAGGAAAAGCCTTAACTTTATTTTATGCAATATATGTTTATAATATATATAAAAAAGAAATTCTTCATTTTAATGAGACTTACCAAATTAGGCCCATTTAAAAAAAACTTTTTATGCTTTAAGCATTCCTATTAATGTATACATGGCATGCATAATTTGTGTATAGATAGATAAAACTATTACTAAAGTACTGTATAACAATGGGAATAAAAGCACACACATGTATGTACACTAAATTTTGCATCTCTAAATTGCATATATAATAAATAAGTTGAAAAAATTGAACAATAATTTTTTGAAAATTACAAACATTTTGCTAGATAATCTATCTCAGGTAGGAAAGACTGATTCTTACATAGGGAAAGGGATTAGTCAGAAATTGGATTGGTAGCAATTGACTAACTCATTGGTACCAGATCTAACAACTTCTGAGCTTTCAAGACAAATTTCCAAAATTGAACAATGTACCATAGATTGAGAACTACCAGGTTATTATGAAAGGCTTCATCCCTAATTTGAATTAAGTACTTAAACTAATTTATTAAATTTTAAATTTCATCTTTATTAATCTGAAGACTTTAATTGTTTATTCCAAATCACTGCATTAATATTCCAATCTACTAATCTTGGGAAAAGAAAAATTATGTATGGATTTTATAGTAAATTATTGGTATGTCTTGTATATCGACCTTGGAGGGGGTGGGGAAAACCCAGCATTTGCACCATTTGGACTTAAGTAAGTGCGGTTTGTTGCCCCATGTTATAAGCCTGTATGGAAACAAAACTGACTACAGTAAACAGAAATTAATTATATATAAACATAACACAAGTTATTTAACATACACATACAGAAGAAATTTTAATATAAATTTATATTTATTAGAGTATTTAATAATTTCATAATTCCTTATAGTATTCAATTAATTACATTTTACTTAATTCAATTTATGATTGTGTATGTGCATACATACACATACACATACAGCAGGGATGGCCAAGACATTGACCACGAAGAGGCAGCCCGCACGACCATCTCGATAATGACCTCAGATATTAACAATTTAATTTATGACTTATGACATAGATTTAATGAATTATTTAAAATAAAAATTTACTACAGTTTACACTTTAAAACCTAAAACACACTGTGCAAAGTAATACAATAAATTTGTCGTTTTACAGTGGAGAATTAAATAGAAACAACTTGACAAAGTGTGATGCTTAGATTTTATTCAGTAGGTGGCACGATGATAGCAATGGAACGAGTCGACTAGTCTACCCGTCACCCCCCCCGTTTAGTTTCAGTTCTCAGTTAATTGTCTTACTTTGCAGGTCGCTCGCTTCCTACTGCACTGATATGATAGTTTGTTGTTTCGAATACCCGTCCAAAATGACTCAGCCAGTGCTAAGAGAAGTAAAACATACCATTATCACAATGAGTGGGGAGATGATTTCTTTTTTGTTATGGTGAAGGAGAAATGTGTTTGTCTCATATGTAACAAGTGTGCACTACCAAAAAAAGCAAACGTTGAAAGACATTTTAAAACCATGCACTTAGAATACACTACAGACTTTCCAATCGTCAGTGAAAAGTGCATGAATTAAATTCGAATTTAAATTTACAGAAATCGCTATTTACGAGACCAGGCACCAAAGCTAAAGCAGTAACATTGGCTTTGTTTAAAATTACAGAAGTTTTGATAAAGCGAAAAAAAACCATTCAAAGATGGAGAATTGATAAAAGAAGCTTTCTGTAAAGCGGGAGAAGTGCTTTTCCACGATTTTAAAAACAAATCTGAAATATCGTCAATACATAATATTTCTTTGTCGCGTAACACTGTGATGTGACGGACTGAAGCTATGAATAATAATTTGGATGATTTACTAAATGACGATTTAAAAGCTTGTAAGTTCCTATCACTTTAATTTGATAAATCCATGGATATTAGTGAGACTGCACAGTTATGCATTTTTGTGAGAAAGGTTTTCGAAGATACGACTTCAAAAGAAGAGTTATTAACTATAATTCCATTGAAAGGACAAACAAGAGGCCAAGATATCTACAATTCATTTAAAAACTTTATTGATAAGACAGGATTTCCAATATATAAATTGGTCTCTATTACAACAGATGGAGCTCCAGCAATGTTCGGGGAATCGAATTGGTTTTATTGCCTTGTGCAATAATGATGAGGAAATTCCCAGTTTTACCAGCTATCATTGCATCAACAGGTATTGTGTTCAAAAATACTAAAGTCTAATGATATAATGCAAATTGCTTTTAAAATCGTCAATTCAATTCATTCAAGAAGTCTTCAGAGACGACAATTTCGGGCGCTTTTGGAAGAAACTGAATCAGAGTACGGAGATCTCTTATTGCACACAGACGTGAGGTGGCTAAGCCGTGGTGCTTTTTTAAAAAGATTTCGTATTCTGTTACCAGAAATAAAAAATTTTCTACAAGTGAAAGGAGAGCACATTACTGAATTGGAAGATGAGAAATGGTTCATGAAACTAGCCTTTCTCTGCGATATCACTTCAAAACTTAACGACGTAAACCTAAATCTACAGGAAAGAATAAATGTTTAACAGACATGATGAGCATGATTAAAACTTTCAAAGAAACGATAAAAAGGTATGTGTCTCAATTAAGAAAACATGAATTGAGAAACTTCAAAAACATGGAGGAAGAGGGTATCCATAATCCAAAACGAGACTTCGAAGATTTCGTCAAACACTTACATGTTTTGTTTGAAGAATTTGAAAGATGATTTGCTTACTTAATTAGGTTGGAAGAAATACTCAATTTTATATTTCCATTTAATGAAAATGTCAACATTGATGGAGTATCTGAAAAATAGTACATTTAATAGATACCACACACCAGTCACAGTCAAGGAAGAAATTATTAAATTAAGATGCAATATATTTTTTAAATCCAGAGCATCTAGCGATACTGATTTTTAGAAATTAATTTCTGAGGAAACGTTTCTAAATATTTACAAATTGATTTTTGTATTTGAAATCATACTTTGGATCGACGTATCTTTGTGAATCTGCTTTTTCAACCATGAACGCCATAAAAACCAAAAATCGGTTGTGTTTAACAGATGAACATTTAATTTCGTGTTTATACATTGCAATAAGCTCACACCAGCCACAATATGATAAACTTGTTGCAGATATACAGTGTCAAATTTCAACTAAACGAAGTGAATAGGATAGTCAATTTTTGATATATGAATACTTTGAATATTCTCACCAGTAAATTTTTATTTTGTAAATATTAATATTAATATTAAGTTTTTTTAGAAAAATTAGATAATTTACCATTTTTTCTTGTTACCGAAAATAAATATATAAACATGTACGTTATGTTAATTTAGCTCTGCCATTGGTAGACCGCCTTCGATTTTTTAAATGTGGAGTAAACCCCGAATCCCAGAAGTTTGGCCACCCCTGATATACAGGGTTCGGGGTACCATGTTTCAGAACTTCTTGCCACCACATCTGATCCACTGTTTCCCAAATGCCTAGGTGGATTTTGGCTAAAATCAGCAGAGGCCCCCACTGTGTTGGAACCACATTGTCTGTTGCATCAATGCGTGAATCTCTTTACCATCTAAAAGTTGTGGTATAACTTCCTGCAGAAATATTTCAGAAATATAAGTACTTCCAACCCCCACAATGATGTCACCCCAAACATTAAACCGAAAACCGACTCTGAGCTGCACAATGTTGCGTAGCATGACAGTTCTCGATCGCCCAGAGATGAGCATTATGTGCGTTGAATATTCCCTCCCTTGTGAAGGATGTTTCATTTACGAACAGCACGGTCAAATGGTGATCTGTAACACAGTTTTCAAGTTACCATTGTGTAAAGCAATAAGAGGTGCAAAATCACCTGATCGAAGTGCCTGGATACGCTGCACATGAAACGGATGCATTTTGCTTTCTCTGAGAACCCTCCAGATGCCTAAACGAGAGACACCAACTGTTGAGTGCTCAAACTTGGAGTCCCCTGTACCTAAAGTAGGACATTTTCTTCAATGTCCGGAGCCCACGTTGATTGTGCCTGACTAATGGCAGCTCTTTGAAAGGAAGTTATCATCCGGTGCAGCTTTTCAAAGAAATTATGGTTGGATGTATGCCTCATAGGCCATCATTTCGTGTACAAGCACTGCACAGCTGGACCACTACAGCCTGAAGCTCCATATGTCAAACGCATATTACGAGCTTAAGGTCGTTTGTATGAAACAAACGAGTAGCGGGAAGCACGATTGGAAAATCTTCTAACTCCATGTTCGTATAATTATTCATCTTACCGCGTCCTGTGCGAAATGATGATGCCCTGCAAGAACTGTTGAAGCTTCTGTGAAACACCATCTACCCCACCAGAAAAACATTTTCAGACCCTACATTATTATATGATTCCGAGTCATTAGGGTGCATCCTTTCCCTCCTAGATATTCTCATATGGCACTGAGTCACCCTGTATACATGCATACATGAACACATCCATCCATTTCTGAATCTAGTCCTGATAACAAAAGAGTACCAATTTATCAAAAAAGTAAGATACATGAACATACAAGAAAATTCATTTTGGTACTTATATATTAATGTAACCAACCACCTTAGTAGAAGCCAAATTTTCAGGATGTAGTAAGCTCAGGCAACCATGTGCATAACCATCCTTTTGGCAACAATGCTCATAACAATCTTTCAGTCAATTAATGCCACCATTTTTCTATGCTTTCTTTTTTGTTGTATTCCAAGTTCCAAAGGTTTTCATAAACAGATTGTGATATTTTTTGCCTTACACTTATTTTAAAATATGAGCTTGTGGAATATGCCAGCAATAAAAGAAACTGCAGTACAATTTATGCAAGAATACAGAATTTTGCTGATATTTTTCTACAGGGAACAATGAGGAAATGTGTTTTCTAGAAAGCCGCTAGAAACACAAGGTTTGTATGAAGCCAAGTCTCCACAATTCTCTGATGTTTTTTAAGTAAAAACAGATCACTGTGTACTTTAGGGGAACAACAAAGTTAAAAGAAAATTGCAGAAAGACTTGAAGAATAATGTAAGTGGTTTGTTTTTTAATGTATTACATAATCTTTATTTAATAACACAAACTTGTATTTTAAACTGCTAAGGTATGTTTTCTTTTCATATGTTGACAATGTTAACTGACAATAAATATTGACACTTTGAGAATCTTTCTTAAAAAAAAAAAAAAAAAAAAGGGTGGGTAGGGTAGTCACGAAAACTACCAACTTGCACCGAATAAGTAACTTTTACCCTTTCATGTGTAAAAAATCACCTTATAAGGTATTTCTCCCACCTTCCTGGTGTAATGGTTCTGCATGCTGGGCCGGTATTTTAGAGGTTTGTGGTTCGATTCCCAGCGAAGGCGTTTACTCATTTTGGCCGCTTCCAAAAAATACCTAATGTCTCTACAGTGGCGCCCGAATTAAAAGGGTGTTGGATGATGATTCTCCTCACCCAGGATTTGGCGATTGGGTCCTCTAAAAACCCCAGTCACTCTTTAAAAAGGGGAGTATATAAGGTATTTCTCCAGCATTTCTAGCATGCCTTCGTAGTGTAGTGGTTCTGCATGCTGGGCCGGTATTCCAGAAGTTTGTGGTTCGATTCCCGGTGAAGGCGTTTGCTCATTTTTCATCTTGTCTTCTTCCAAAAAATACTTAATGTCTCTACAACCTAACTGCATCAAGGTGTTATACGTAAGGTTCCAATATGTAAGAACCTTCAATTTTTTTACAAACTCTTTCTGGTAGCCCCAATTTTGCATCTGTAGCTAATAATGCCTCAAACACATTATAATAGCCGACTCAGTGCCTCAATATGAACTCTGCTAGGTAGGACTCGAGGTGACTGCAAACTATAACTGTGTATTACTTTAGCCTTTAGTACCTTACTTTTAGCCTATCCACTGCTTACTTTTACAACGAGGCACCTTATTTTCATTAGTTTTTGAACAAATAATATTTCTGCATCTGAATATTCTACTGTACTGTTTTTATTAATTTCTTTGAACATAAAAGTTCTAATTTAACACTGTGGCCTTGCCATCTCTACAAGCATGTTATAAACATCAACAAATTCTGTTACATTCAAACTTTCTGTTAGTTTCTTTAAACATGCAGCTATATGCTAACTTTGCAGAGCAGAGTGCAACTGGTGAATCAGCTGAGGCTCTCTGATTTCAGTAACACAATTTATACAATTAGCAAACTTTAAAGACATTTATTAAAAAATTATCACTGATTTTTATTTTTGCAGACATATTTACTTGCTTGTTTAGTTGGTTATAGCAAAGTATGCAGGAATTTTAAGAATTATTTGCCTAAAAGGATAGATGCTTTCTATTTTATAAAGACTAATTTTCAGCATGTTATTTTAAAAATAGAGTAATATGAATAAAAATAATTGAAAAAAATTTTTTTCTCCATTATTAGAATAACATAGTGATTAAAGTTATATTTAATTATATTTTCTATTATCAGTACATACGAAATTTTTATTTATAAGAATTATTTAATAATTTGTAAATATCACTAATTAAGCAAAATTTTAAATATTTTTATTAATTTCTGGTAGTTGCTGCCATTTTCTGCTAGCTGCAAGCAGTAGAAAGCCAGCCCTATGTCGGACATATCATTTAGTACAGTGCTCTCAATATTCCTGGAATGATTAGAAAAATGCTTTTTTTTGCATCTGTTACAGAATTATCACATCATTTTGCAAAGCTCGAATTCTCTGGAAGCATCGAGCTCAAAGAACAATGCTAATGAGATGAGAAACTGGAACTACCAAATTGGAATATCAAAAGCTTCATATATGTGACATGAATTTTCTGCAGACTTTTTTACTACATGATGATTATCTAATAAATTGTTTATATTACTTACACACTACAAAACTGATTACAGCAATTTCTTCAATTTTTACTTTTTGAATGCAGCCATAATTTAAACATAATAAAAGTTTTTCTTAATGAGTGAAAATCAGTTTTCTTTTAGTTCAGTATTACATGCAAATACTTAACAGTGCAAATTAGTATTAATAATAGATATAAAAATCCCTTACCAAAGATACATCCTCTTCTGGATGTATAATTTTGCTAGATGCATTTGTTGTTACCACAGTTCCAGGACGCTTGTTATCTGCATTTATTTGAGGACTTGAAGGAATTTCTACAAAATTGACAAGTGCTTAATGTAATTAAATGAACAGGTGGATAAATATTATTTTTCCCATTTCAGACATGAATTCTTAAGTGAGCAATTAAATACCAGATAATATAATCATTTTCAAGGCAGATAACTTATTACAAATTAATAAACATGAGTTTAAGCATTATATAAACAAAATATATCTTTTGTCACATTTACCTGAATTATATAATACTGGTCCAGATCCATGAGTTTTTGATATCTGACCTAGAATAAAATATTTAGAGTCAGATTTATTACATATTTCTTTCAAATACAACTTTACAGTATAAATGATGTTCACAGTAGAGATGAATGATGGATTACATTTGTAGTCAGATGAATATTTCAGTTTTTATGCTGATTTAAAAATTCTGAATCGGAGTTTAATACAAAGAAAACCAAAGAAGACCAAAAAGAAAAATATTTCTTTTAAATACAACTTTAAAGTATAAATGATGTTCACAGTAGAGATGAATGATGAATTACATTTGTAGTCAGATGAATATTTCAGTTTTTATGCTGATTCAAAAATTCTGAATCGGAGTTTAATACAAAGAAAACCAAAGAAGAACATTATCAATAATCTATGATAATAACAGAAATTGTTTGGTTATGTATAGATCAGAGACTGAAAATATCACTATATGCTGAGTTATGAAATTCAGCTCAAGTTTTCCAGTAGAGAGTCTGCATGCACACACCATTTATTTATTTTTCTGACTTTTTTATATACATCCTTATTTAGTAATCTGATCATTAAGAATTTCCACTTTTTGACAAAAAAAAAAAAAAAAAAAAAATAATTAAGTACAGTTTAAAATACTCTTTTGAATGGGTTTACTTTTCAAGTATACTTTATGCAAATATTTAACATTATTAATCAATATTACCCAAACATATTTCAGATTTTAATCATTATGACTCCAATATTTTCAAAATCCAAAATTCTATACTTGTTTAAATGTTCACCAATTATAAAAATGACCTTAATTTTGTTTTAAAATAATGATAAAAAAAAGCAACAGCTAATAAATCTTCTATTAATGGCACAAAGGTACCCTTTCACTTAGACAAGATAGTTCTTGTACTTTGTTATATTTATAACATCGGGAGGTATCAAACTGGTGCATATATCTTTCTACAGAAAAAAGTTTGATATGCATTGCTCTATAATTGAAAAGATCCATGGATTTTTATTTTTTTTTATTAAATACTACTCTTAGAATTTTGCAAGTCTTAAACAAAATCAAATTAAGGAACAGCAGCATCTGTAAGAAACACAGAATATAGGGAAGATCTGTGTTCCGTCTTTTTGGTAGATAGGTGGTGCTCTTGATGCGCGCCGATGAAAAATATACCACTTGAAGCGTGAACATGAACAATGACGCATGTCATATTTATTTGATGCTTGATTATGTTTCATGGCCGCTATAGGCGGAAGTAATATAAGTTTATCGTTAAAATATGTTATTTCTATGTTCCGTGAACTCTTGAAATTTTGATTTGAAATTCTAATGCTCTTCCAACCTTGACTCCTGATACGAAACGATCTTTGAATTCACGACTCATGAAGAGAGACACCATACATTTTTCTGGTGTCTGAAACCCGCGACAAGGGGAATTACCTTTTGAAAGGTAAGAAATTTGATTTATTTGTTCTTGGTATCGATCTTTGAAAACGAAACATAATGGATGATTTAGCAAAAGAGAAAAAGAAACATGCTATTGTACGTAGTAAAGTTACTACACTTCTAAATAAACTTGAGAAATTATTATCGGAAAGAATTAAGTAAAGAACATCTAGAAGATCTAAATTCATCATATGAATTGTTAATTGAATACCATGAGAAACTTAAAACTCTTGACTCAAAGATCGATGCTCTCATAATTGATGAAAAAGAATATGATAACGAACTACTTGTATGTGAAGAGTATGATGAAAAAATTATAACGTTTAAAGCTAAGATTGTTAGTAAAGTAAAGAAAATTAACAGTAATGAAGTTGTTGAAAGAAGTATAATTATTACAACTAGTAATGGTATTAGTAGTACTCTGAATGGTAATAATGTTGTTACAAGTAGTGCTTCAGTAAAGTTACCTAAATTAAGTATTGAAAAAATTTGCTGGTGATCCCAGTAAATGGCTCGAATTCTTTAATTCGTATGATAATGCTATTCATTCTAATCCAAGTTTATCTAAAATAGATAAGTTTTACATATTTGAAAAGTTTATTATCTGGTTCAGCATATAATTGTGTTTCTGGTTATGCTTTATCTGAAGAAAATTATGATCTATGTATTAAAAGTTTAGAAGAGAGGTTTGGTCGTAAAGATGTTATTATATCAAAATTCATGCAGATGTTGTTACAGTTAGAACCAGTTAAAAGTTCTTCAAATGTTTTTGAGTTAAGAAAGCTCTATGATCAGTTACAAATCTGTGTTAGAAATTTAAGTAGTTTAGATGTTACTAGCGGTTCATACGGACAGTTATTGAACCCAATAATTCTTAAATTGTTACCTGAAGATTTAGTTCTTGAATTCCATAGAAAAAGAACATCTAACCAAACTATAGAAGTAAGTGAATTAATAGAGTTCATTAAAATCGAAACTGAATGCCAAGAAGCAAGTATTTTGATTAATAGCTCAAAAGGTAATAAATACACAGGGGTTAATCCTAAACAAGGGTTCAAAAATTATAAAGTCAAATCACAAGCTTCTGCTTTTAACACATCGGTAAAAATGTTTTGCATATTCTGCAAATCAAACGAACATACATCTGCCGGATGTTCGAAATTTTCCGACGAACAAAAACGAAAGAAATTAAAACATGAAGGTCACTGTTACAAATGCTTTCTGAGATCACATTTGCGGTCGTTTTGTCATTCAAAAATACAACCATGCGAAAATTGTAACGACAAAAATCATAATAAACTTTTCTGCCGTTTGAAATCGAAAGAAATGGAAGATGTTAAATCCGCAGATACGCAAAATAAAACTTTAGTATCTACTTCCCACTGTAACACTCTAAAACCTGAAAATAGTGTGCTTTTACAGACATGTTCTGTTATTGCTCAAAGCAAAAATAAATCGAGAATCGTAAGATTATTAATTGATTCAGGTAGTGAACGAAACTTCATCACCCACAAGTTTAGAATTTAGAATTTTTTGCATGCGATTTAGAATTGCAAGTCATTAGAAAAGAATTTCTAACCAATTTATTCGTTTGGAAATCAGCGCGGTAACTCGCAAGAATTTGATGTATATAGTCTAAAAATAAAAAATAAAAAACGATGATCGCTGCCTTGTTGTAGAAGCTATCAGGGATAGAATTAATATCCATCAATAGAAATTCCAGGCGCCATCCACATGTCAAAACATTAAAGAATTTATGACCAAAAAAGGGCTTTGGAACTTTCAGATACAAGCCCCATTAATGAGAACATAAATATTCTGCTTGGCGCGGAGCGTTTCTGGCATATACAAACTGGAAGTAATTTCAATGATAAATGATGGTTTGTTTATAGTACCGACCCCTATTTGGATACCACAGTGATGGGTAAAGTAAAAAATATAATACTCGAATTAATGCGTTGTTTTTTTTATCTGCCGTTGAAGAAAACACATTTGATTTGCAGTCATTTTGGAAATTGGATTGGATTCGCTAGGAATTGAAAATGAAAATAAAACCTTTTCGGAAACTGATTTGGATACTATTAAGCATTTTAACGACAGTTTAAAATTTAATAACGGCAGATACGAAACAAAACTCTTTTGGAAAGGACATAAATCACAACTCGCTGATAATTTTTTCGTTGCTAAACAACGATTTCTAGGACTTAAGCATAAATTAAAGGGAAATGATTTCCTATATAATGAATATGATAATATAATTAGAGAACAAGTTGAAAAGGGATTGTGAACAATGTAAGTTTGTTGAAAATGAACCTAACTGTTATTAATATGCCTCATAAGGCCCCGTTATACGTGAATGAAAAGTAACAACAAGAATAAGAATAGTTTATGAGGGCCTCACCTCTAGGTCTGAAGGAGCTAAATCGTTAAATAAATGTTTGATGTCAGGCCCTAATTTAAATCCTAATCTGTTGGATATAATTTTAAAATTTCGCGTACATAAAGTTGCATTTTGCGCAGACATAGAGAAGGCTTTTCACCAAATTCAAATTGATAGTGAAGATAGAAATTTCTTAAGGTTCTTATGGTTTGATCATTCTTCCGACAATAGTGACAATAGTTTAGGCTTTAAGGTTTTCCGAATGTGCCGAGTGCCGTTTGGAATGACAACAAGTCCGTTTATTTTGCCTGCCACTATCAAACATCATATTAAAAGGTTATGAAAAGAAATATAGCAAAGCTGTTGACATGTTAAATAAGTCCTTATATGGTTGATGATCCTTATCCATGGAGCAGACTCCGTTGAAGAAGTTTTCTTTCATTATCAACTGATGCAGTTAAAATTCTTCAAGACGCTGGTATGAACTTAAGAAAATTCGAATCAAATTCCGTATCTTTTAAAAAAATCATTGGCAAGATATTGGTTTAATTAATAAGGAAGATAATTTGGATAAGAAAACGTTAAAGGTGCTGGGAATAATTTGGGATTTGGATGAGGACACATTGAAATTAGATGTACAAGAACTTTTACAACCAGTTGACTGGAAACACGTTACAAGGCGAAAGGTATTACAGATTGTGGCAAAAATTTATGACCCAGTTGGATTCATTGCACCCTTTGTTATCAGAATAAAATTCTTATTACAAGAGTTATGGGAACGGGGTATTGATTGGGACACAATTTTGCCCAGCTATTTGAGTGAAAAATTTAAAACTTGGTACTTTGAAATTGAAGTTATTCTCAACTTGTGTATTCCTAGAAAATACATATTAAATGATGAATGTGTAAATTTCGATAAAATAGAGCTTTTTGTCTTTTGTGACGCCAGCCTCAAGGATAACCTTCACGGAGGAGCCACATTAACATTATCTGCTCTGCGACAGAAATATTGGATCGTTAATGGCCGAGAAATTGTAAGAAAAATAATTTGGAAATGTATAAAATGTTTTAAAAATCGAACAAGCACATCCAGTCAGATAATGGGCGACCTACCTGCTTCTCGCGTATTGCCAGATAGAACATTCTCGAATACAGGACTGGATTTTGCAGGCCCCTTTTTAATTAAAGCTAAGAAAAGGAAGAGGAGGAACGAG